CATTTTTATATTATCCCAGTCACCTAATTGTTATTTTGAATTCACTGTATAAGAAGCTAGTCACATAAACCAAATAATTCTTTGCCAACAAAATTTTTTCAAGATGGGTAACTTCTTCTAAACATTAGCAAGTGAATTTCCGGTAAAAGTAATCCTTTTTATTTGGCACTTGTTCATAAAGTACTGATTGTCATATTTTAAATAAAAAGAAGACTTATAACCAGAACCCTGCAAAGTTCGAGTCTTCTTGGTTTGAACTACCAATTGATGTTACAAAAACTGCAAAATTGTTAGTAACAATTTTAAAAACTTTACTTGTTATTATTTCATCGTCAAAGCCCAAAACACTTGGTCCAGAATAATATGTCTTCGCTTTAAAAGATTTCTAGTAAGTAAGTTTCATTTACTACTTCATTCAGAGATGAGTGAATTTCTGTACCCTTATTTGCTTTACGTACATAACCAGGTTCTGAATTGTCCGTTTTTGCATTGTAGATTTGTAAATTCGAATTCTCTTTGGTTTAATTTTAATTCATTTCTCATTAATTCTTAAGGAAAACACATTTGTTAATTTTTGTATCTAAAAAAGTCATCAATTTACAGCAAAAGAACCATAATGCAAGTTTCTTTCGATTTCGCCAGGTACTAAAAGTTGTCTTTTATTTTTATTTGCATAAAAAAATAAAATAAAATAAAAATTAGTTGCCTTTTTGGTGTAAAAAAACCATTTTTTGGTAGTACAGCTAGAGTCACTTGATTCCCGACCAATTGATTTCATGAAGCTTATCACGTGAATACACAGAACTCGAATGAATATTTTAGGAGCCTTTATCTTTGATCATAAAATTTCCATAGTTGATGAAGCAAACATTTAATTGGAAATCGTATTTCGTTTTAAATATATATCATACACAATGAATGTTTTTACATAGTATTAGGACTTAATATCAATTAATGTCAATACATTTATTATTATTATAAATCTAAAAAAAATAATCATAATACGGCCGAACAAATCTATGAAACGCAATAATTTGGAATAACGAATCTCTTGTGTGTATCAACTATATATGCAGCCTAAATTGCTTTGCTAATGTCAAAAAGTCAAAAGTAATTACGATTAAAAACACGTGTAACATTGAAATAGTCTAACATTTTAGAAATTCGTTTAAACAAGGCTTGGCTGTAAAAATTTATCATTAATACCAAGTTTACAATGCAAAAATGCAATAATAATAATAATAATAATAATAATATAATAAATAATATCTCAACCATGCAAATATTTTTATTTGAAGTTTTGATGGATTGTTTATAATAGCATTATTAGTTATGGCAAGCATCATCGCATTTCTATACATTTCTACCATCAACGTTGCTATATTCTTCATGGGTAACAGAATCGATCTTAAAATGATTTAATATTGACATTTTTGTTGCTGGTGTATTGAATCCAACCATTAAGACGAATATGAATGCATTTCTAAACAAGGCCATATTAAATTTTTAGATTAGTAAATATTTATTAAGACCATGAAATAGATATAATGTGGTTTTGTTACAATGACAACACCATTTTTCTATTACTTCTATTGCCTGTAGATTAAAATATGGCATCTCGCGGAACTCACAGTCAAAAGAAATAACAAAACATTAATTCCCAAGTAAATGAAACTGGAGAAAGAATAAAGCCTGGTCTACGTTTTTATCATAGTGCTATTGCTGATATTCAGAAGGTTCTTTCTTAATAATATGATAAGTCATATGATCACGATTATAAAAATGGGACTCAAAATCCAATTTTCCAAATTCTAATAGCAAACTAAAGAGAGACTTATTCAAACAACATGCAAATAAAAAACAAAACTTGTCTTATAGCAAGAAAACTCATTCCATAATAGCTAATACTCATTTTGTAGTCAATTTTACTTAATCAATTGATTCGATTGTTAGTACACGGCTGATAAATTCATTAATATTATTTTTTCTTTCCATTGTTGGTATTCTTTATATCAACTTTTGTAGCATTGGTTGGTGCCTGAAGTTTTTAAGTCTGTCTCCTTTAGGGATTAATTTTACAAATCGTGATGTGTCCCTGAAATTTGTGAAAAATACAAGCGTAACACATATTGAGATCCAATTTTGTTGAAAAAAACCAATTTCAAAAAACATCACCATTTGTTCTACCTAGCAGTTAAAGTTGATGGCTTTTTGAAAAGGGTAAAGAAATAACAGTTGGCACCAATAAAAAAGGTATAATTATTTCAAAAAATGAAGAATGATATTTCAACCATCAAAGTCACACGTTCACTCAAATCAAAAGTAACAATGTTTGTTATTTGAATTTTTTGTAAATTAATTAAAGATGTCAATAAGAAATTTATAACAGATCAATTAAAGGTGTATTTGAGTCGAGTTGGGGTTGTAATTTATACCAACTCAAACAATTAACTCACATTGACAAAATAAACATTTTTTTGTAATTCTTTCAAGTGAAGTATTTTTGAGAGTATCATGTTATTTTATATAAAAATATACTCTGGTACCGGTTCCCCGGATTATATAGAAGGGCTAATAGAAATATTCATATTAATCACATAATCTAGGAAATAAAAACATAATTGCGATATTCTTCATATATAATAATAATTGGGGTTAAAGCATAAGTTAGGCAATGCTGTATTGTTTTAGAGAGAGATCGGTTCTTTGTTTAACAACCATAATCAGAATTATCAGGATCTAAAGCCTTGCAAATACTAGTTCAAGTGTTTATGCATGTTCTTCTTTATTTATTTAACAACTTCGGCTCAGAAATGTTCTCTTGCTCAGAGTACCCGTCTTACCTAAGGGAATGTCGATGGTAAAGTAAATTTTTCTTTAACTTTGCTAATACACCCTTGCAATAATTCATACATATTAAGTGATAATTTGCTTTCGAATTGATCTCGGATCAAATTTAAATTGTAGAGGTTGGAACTGGCTAAAAAAAAAAAGCCTTAACCAGTTAATACCGTGTTAATAACCTGTTAATGTACTGATTCATATGATATGATTTTTTTGTTCTTATAATTCAATTTTAATACGAATTACATTCAAGTGTCAGGAACAATTTTTTTGTGTTTCACAAATTTCTGCAATAAAGGGTTAGTTGCATACTATTGAATATTTGTTTTTTACATATATATTGATATAGGGATTAAGAGTTTTGGCTGAAATAAAATGAATGAATTGCCAATTTTATCTAGCTTGTATATAAAATTTAAAGGAATTAGGAATTTTCAGTTCCAATTTGTCTCGAAGATTCTTTTTTAAAAATATTAACTATTAATTCAAATTAATTAACCACTACTTTTTTATGTTCATCTTTTTTATTTTTATGCTTATGTGTTATAAGGTAATAAACATTAAAATAAAATTACCAATTCATTTTCTATCATGATATGAAAAGATTACATCCAACTTTTGCAAAAACGAGATCACATAAAATCACAAAATCCAGGTTTGAGCACAAAAATATTTTACCTTATCTCACAGAAAAAAGCCATCGTCCCTGGACGTATTATACATTATACATTTAAAAGTATTCTCACACAAAGTTGGCTTATTGACAATTAATGCATGATTTAAAAAATGAAGAATTTTAGAAATCGAGGATATTACTGGTTTTGCGCGGTTTTTCAAAATAAAAAGAAGTTAGATTCAATTCATTATTTTCCCTAATATAGTTATTTAAATTAAAGGTGATTTACATTGTTACCTATTTTATACGTCTGTAACGATTTAAAATTCGTGATTGTTAAATAAAACCTTGCCTTTTATATTTTTTTCTTTCGCAATGTTTTCCCAGAATTAATATTAGAAACTTTATTATGGTCGAATGAGAAAATTTGACTAAAATTATATTATTATTATTATTTATTATATTATTATTATTATTATTATTATTATTGCATACATTGCATGAACATATCATGTGGTTTAT